ATGCAAACAAAAGAGACAACTCTGATAATAATATGCACGTTCCTTGAATTTGATTGGTCCACACCCGAGACGGCTTTTCTTACAGCCTAGTCTCCACTGGTGTTGGACCAAAAGACGCCAAAAAGCTTTTTGGCGTCTTTTATTATCAGAGTTGTCTCTTTTGTTTGCATTTTAACTGCTTGTGTTGTGGTTATTGCAAACATGATGCCTTGAACCAAGGTGTCAGTTTTTGTGCCAGTTAAAAGGGTAAAACCTATTACTATATCTTGTTACTGGAAAAGGACGTCTCATAATGTAAACGTTTGTGACCGTTGTGGATTTAACGTCTTGAATCACGCGGACAGCACAGCAGACTCTGCTCAGAGGTTGTGAATCATACGTGTGGTCTGTTCGCAGCGCTAAACAACATCTGGACACATTACTCGACCGAATGTCAGCACCGCGAGGGTTTTAGATGACACTTATTATGCACGAAGTAATCATAATAACAACAACAATAATTTATGGCCAATTTGTTCATTTAACTTCCCCTCACATTGTTGTCAGCCATGGGGGGGGGTCGTTTCGTCCACGTTGGTAAGTGTGGGCCGGTGAAAGGTGGAGGCGATCGAAAAATATGAACCACTCATGTTAGCTGTGGTTACCGGGTTGATAGCGCAGCGAGGTAATCGCTGGTCATGATAATAATTGTGTTTTTCGCCTGTTGTAGTGTGTCTTCAGCACCACGGGAGGATGTACTACAGCCACCACTACCACCTCAACTGCTGCCTGCTGCCACCACCACTGTCTCAACCGCCGCCACTTCAACCACCCCCCCTCCGCGCCAGCAAACCAATGCAAAGAGGCCAAGCGACAGTAACAGCTTGCCTGTCCTTAGTGCTCCTCCCAGCAGCGCTCGTCTTTGTGTGGGGGAGGGGGGGTCATGTTAGCGAGGGCATCTAGCCAGCCCTGCAGTCGGCACCGCCATCCACCCCATACCCATAACATGACCTCCAGCAGCAGCACATGGCAACACAGGGCGCAGAGACCCATCTTCATCAAGACCCACAGATACGAAGGAAACATCACGGCGACACACCCCGCTGCTCCTGACGCGGTTATTTGGCTTGACCACCTGAATGTCAGATTGCAATTGTTGCTCTGCGTCTACATCAGCAGCCGTACGAACGAAGAAGAAGACGACAATTGATCACTTTAGCAAAGGAATTAATATAGCAGCAAAGGCTTAGAACTGAATAAGCTCCAAGTAAAGTAGAACTCCCAATTATCCATGCTCCAGTAATTCGTGAATCCCTGTGATTCGCGAATTATTTTCTAATTGCCACCGTTACCGTGATCCGTGGCACACCACGGCGGATACAAAATAGAGATCTGTAGCAGTAGGCGATGCTAACGCAGAGCTAGAGAAGCGGAGCAGCAGGGAATTTTGTTGTTCTTAGCAATTTAGTTTTTTTTGAATCAGCTCAGACGAGTTATGTTGACGTCAGCACTGGGATGATTTGTTGAGCAGAAAATAACTTTTTAATTTCACAGATTTCTGGCATTTGGGTTTAAGAATAAACTCGAAATGTCACAATTTGGCGAATGTTTCACGGATTTAATTAGGCGCTAAGTCACATGCCACACTTCCCCTGAAATACACCCATTGTTTTGCGGATTAATGGAATCGTGGATTCAGGATTCACTACAAGGTCCCCCCAATATCGATGCGAATGATTGGAGTTCTGCCGTATCGAGTCGCACTGTTGGAGGCACGCTTGGAAATTATAATGCCTGCAATGCACATTGAGAGATCCGTACCTACGAATGTTATTAGTATGTACGGTGTCATTTTATTTCACACCTTTTCACAATAAATGGAAAAATTTTATTTTATTTTAACAGCAGAATAACACTTCAGGGCATACATGTATTTTATAGCTAACGAACAGTACATCAGACAGTGTGTTCAGCACATTACCGAAATTTTTTAAACAAGCTGTGCTCACATTTAGCATCTGCAAACACACACTAAAACACAATAACTTGGCAGTTAAATAAATTGGACATAGCAACTCGTTGATTAAATAGTTCAATAATGCTTACGAATAAAGGTGCAATGTTAAAGCGCCCTGTTATTGATGTTTCTTCCAATTTGTGCGATTCAAAAAGCCAAAACGTCGATGCTTGGAATACACTTTTCACTTAAATCTTTGTTTGTGAAAAAGCGACGTAGAATGACATCACATTTACAAGCCACATTTCCCAACCTTTACCATCTTAAAACCGGGCAGTAAATCTAACACGGGTCAATCGAATTTGCATGAGTTACTGTATCGTAAACAAATCTATTCTAAAATTTTACCGTGGGCTATACATATCTTGACTTAAAGCTTTCGTGACTGCAGGAATTCATATTCTTTGGGTCTTTCGGTAAAGCCACGTAGATAGAAAAATAATACAAATATCACGACGTTTCGATCGCAACACAAGCAATCATTATCAAGTGAAAAAAATATAGTGGGAGAGCTGTTGAAGCAGGATGTTATATAGGTTTGAGATGGGTTTAGCCCAAGGGTAAGTGGGTGGGGCTAGAGATGGAATTTGCATGTCAATGTAAGATCGGAGAGCTGATATACCTCCACGACGACACAGCTATTGAGGTGGCCATTGTATTGTAAGAGATTAGCATATCAATGTCAGCGAACCACCGCAACGGTGGCTGTGTTAGTGAGACATTTAGCGTGAATGTAACTCAGAGAGTCGGAAATAACTGCTAATATTGGCAGGTAGGATGGAAACATCACAGCCAGTTATGACTTAAACTGGTTAATAACGTCCTTCCAATGATTGCTCAGTTTGTACCCATTTTCTTGGTTGAAATTGTGTCTGTGTTTATTTATGAACGAAACTTTGTTGATAACTAGTGGGTTTGCAGAGTACCTTCGTCTTGGAAAAATCAATTTCGTATGTGCCCCCAGCGTTAAAACAATAATCAGCCATGGCTGAGGTATTGGTCCTAGCGTGTTTCAGATCTGCCTTTTGTTCACGAACACGGTCTGAGACTTGTCGCTTAGTTTTGCCAATGTAACTACTGCTGCAGGCACAACTTAGTTTGTAGACACCAGGGTATTGCATGTCAGGGATCATATCCTTCACAGATGGGATCAGATCATGAATTTTATGTACTGTGTTGAATTGAACCTGGATCTTGTGTTTGCTCATGATTTTGGAAATCTGTTAGTAACCCCTGCTCTATATGGCAAGGTTTTGTTTGGGTCCTGAGATGGTTCTTTCCCAACGGTTGGAGTGATGGCTTTACGGATTGTGTAGTCCGAATAACCATTCATCTTGAGGGCTTGGTGTACGTGATTCACAGTTCACTGGCTAGGTGGTGATGGTCGGAAATACAATGAGCTCTATGGTGTAGAGTTTTGATGAGGGAATTCTTCTGGGATGGATGGTGGTGGGAGTCAGGTTTTAGGGAGGCATCTGTATGGGTGGCTTTCCTGTAGACAGTGTCCCATTGAGCCATCTGGTCTCTTCGATTAACACATCCAAGAATGGTAACTTGCCATCCGTTTCCACCCTCCATGGTGAATTTAATGGCTAGGTGTCTGGAATTTATGTGGTTGAAGAATTGGCCCAGCGCTGGTAGGCCATGTGGCCAGATGACGAACGTGTCATCTACGTATCTCTTCCACAAGGAAGGACGTAGGGTGGATGCCTGGATGGCATCTGTCTCAAATTTGTCCATGAAAACATTGGCTACAACTGGAGATACTGTAAGGGCGAACCCATTGGGGTACCTTCAACTTGTTTGTAGAATGTTCCATTCCAGGTGAAGTAAGTGTTGGTGAGGCAGTGTCTAACCAGGGCAGGTACATCAGCATTCAGTCCTTGTTGGACCAAATCTTCAGTGATTGCAATGGTGTTAGGCACAGGAACTTTGGTAAACAAAGATACTACATCGAAACTGACAAACAAATCACCTGAAGATAGTGAGATGTCCTTAATTAGAGATACCAAGTGAGCTGAGTTAAGTACAGCTGAGGTGGTCTTACCAGTGAATGGTTGTAGGGTCTCAGACAGAAATCAGACCAGTTTGTAGGTGGAGACGATAGGCTGGAGTGGTGCACCTTCTTTATGGATTATTGGTAAGCCATACAATCTGGGTGGTCTCGCAGCAGAGGGTTTTAAGGAAAGCCGCTTGGTTGGTTCGATTAAAGATGTCGAATCAGTGATGATATTGTTGGTTTTCGAAACCAGGCGGTTGGTAGGATCTCTATTGATTTTGGTATAGCTGCCATCATTAAGTAGGTCCTGAATTTTGTTATTGTATGTGGTTTTGTCCATGATGACAGTGGCATTGCCCTTATCGGCTGAGAGGATGACTATGTTATCTCTCTTTTTTAGTTGTGAAAGCTCAAAGCGCTCATCCTTGCTGATGTTGCTAATAGGTGTCTTAGCGTTTTTGAGGACTGCAGCGATTTCTGATCTTGCCACGTCTGCAGGACCTATGGAGTTTGACTTGAGTCAAACTGACTTGAGTCAAACTCCATAGGTAGTCGTTGACTAGACGAAGCCTGTGACGAAAATAAAATAAATCGTGACTAAATTAAGAAATGGGTGTGTCAAACAGATCAGATATCACTTACCACTGACGATAGCATTGGCCACCGCTCCACCTGCATCAACCTCACACGAAGGGTTGTCACGTTAGACGAGTACAAAGACCTTCGAATAAGCCTCCCATATTGCCGCAACAGGATATTCAAATATTCAAAGCGTGTGCATGACGGGCCGACGATATTCAAACGTTAATGATTGGCATCCTCGTGATACGTCATTATGGGGGTTACGAGTATTTTTAACAAAGCTCCCAGCCAGGTCATTTGCCGTTTCATGATAAGGGGGGTGGGGCGGTGGGGGTTAGTGGGGGTGGAGGCAGCTACCAAGGTGTCGAATTATCCACGCTCGCTGGACTATAAAAGGCCCCACGCGTGTTGTAACCTAAAGCAGAAAAATCTTCTCCAGCCGCAGCCGCTGCTACCTGAAGAAGCCAGCTTGGAAAAAAAAACAACGGTCCGTGTCACCGAGTCGATCATCTACAAGCTCAAAGCAGACATGGGTGCGAGATTCCTTCTGCTGATCCTGGCGGCTCTTTGCCTCTCAGCGAATGGACAGTCGGTACGTACAGACTCCCACATCTTTTTTTTTGGGGGGGGGGCACTCGGTTCAGGCTATATCGCACCACCCACGCTTATGTTTAAATCTCTAGGCGATTCCATGCAATGCATGTTTTGGAATAATCTTAGATGTTACGATGGAGAATGAATGAGCCGTGGTTATAATGTAAAAGCTGTTTATGCATATGTACAAATCGATAACATGTGGTGATGCTAATGATGCAGTTGTTTCAATTCATTAGGGGTAATATTACAAGACGTGTGTGCGTGTTGTGAGTTTAACGCGAATTGTCTCACATCACGTGAACAGCATAATGTATGCGCTCTGCCGGAGATTGCAAATCAATTGTGTAAATCTGTTCACGCTGTTGAAGGATATATGTGGATGGATTCAAACGTCGAGGCTTTCACGACCAATATTGTGATTCATAATTCGCTTTTGTGCATCGGATAGTGTGAGCATGAGGTCAATTTCGAGCTATGCACCCTCCCACTCCCCTGACACAGCCAAACCCAATCGAGTTGTCTCGTGGACAAATGTGACAATTCATTTTGTTGTTCACCAAATCGGTAAATTTGGGGGCGACAAAAGCTAGCACAAATGGGACAATTATGCACGACGTTTCACCAGAGATTGCAACCGGCATCATCAGGTACGGTTGTGTAATCTCCGGTGAAATGTCGTACGGAAATTGTCAAATTTTGCTTGCTTCTTTTCAATGTGAGTGGTTTTCTGAACATCAGAGAGCCGATTGGCGCGTGTGTTCACGCAACAAAACTCGATTTGTTTGGCTTTTGCTGGGTGATGGAGGGTGCATAATTGACATGATACCCAACGATCCAACCACCCCCCCCCCAAAAAAAAAAACATCGAATTATGAATTGCGATTTCCAGATACATCATCCCATTGCCAAGTCCCACAGCACAAGGGTTACATAGCAACAATATACACATTATAATAATGATTAATCATTTACAAGCCTTTGTCAATCGCATTGCTGGATGGAAGAGTTCTCCACAGAGTGTTGGTCACAGGGCTTTGTTTGGCTTTACTTCACCACGCTGGTCCATGTTCATTGGTTCAAAGGTGGTAGGCACGGGACCGGTTAAGATATTACTCACCGCTGATGTCATGCGTAGCGGGAATCAAACTGTAATTGATTTGTTTCATCGCTGTGTGGTAACCATTGCCCCCGATCGCTTCACTCCTATATTGACATATGTACGTGCAATTAAGAATATCAATTTTAAAAAGTATCTCATTTTTACATTAAAAAAAAACTCTTTTTGAAAAATTATGGTATCATTTTTTTGGCACTTAACCTTACCAGCATCCACAACTCAAGCCTTTTCAGTATGAAGAAATATATATTTATTTACCTTTATATTGCATAAATATATAAAAACTCAACAAATCCAGTGGACCAAGTCTTTTTTTTCAAGAGATTATGCACATCAGTAGGCTGTCACGTGGTTAAATGTAGGCTATATTACAGAATATGTATTTAGTGTCATGCAACACCAGCGTTTTTACATTTCAGCTTCAGCAATGAAATTGTCATCACCACTAAAAAATGTCCCCATTTATACAATGTTAACAATGGTGTGTATTTTTGTATGTTACAGACAACGTTGCTTGATTCTTCGACTGCTGAACTCTCAACCATCCCCGCCACCACAGCCTTCACCACCACAACCTCCTCCTCCTCCTTCACCACAACCTCCTCCACCACAACCTCCCCCGGCACAATCACCACCACCACCACCGCCACACCTGCCGCCTCCAAAACCACCTCGACCGTCGTCACTCCCACCACCAACTCAACGGCCGCCACCTCAATCACCACGGCCCAGCAAACCACCGCCAAGGCACCGGCGACGGCAACGGGCGGACTCGTTGCGGTGCTCCTCCCAGCAGCGCTCGTCCTGGGGGCGTCGTGGTAGCAAGGGGACGCATCCAGCCCTGCAGTTGGTGCCAACACCCACCCCATGCCCCGTAACATCCACCCCATGCCCCGTAACAACCCACCCCATGCCCCGTAACATCCACCCCATGCCCCATAACAACCCACCCCATGCCCCGTAACAACCCACCCCATGCCCCGTAACAACCCACCCCATGCCCCGTAACAACCCACCCCATGCCCCGTAACATCCACCCCATGCCCCGTAACAACCCACCCCATGCCCCATAACAACCCACCCCATGCCCCGTAACAACCCACCCCATGCCCCATAACAACCCACCCCATGCCCCGTAACAACCCACCCCATGCCCCGTAACATCCACCCCATGCCCCACAACAACCCACCCCATGCCCCGTAACATCTGCCCAATAATATCCACCTCTTGACTCTTAACATCCACCCCATAACATTCCCTCCGAATCCACCACCGCCAGCAGCAGCAGCAGCGGCATAAGGCTACACAGGGCACAAAGATACATCATCGTTGAATACTTTTTGCACCCAGGCTTGTAGAGCAAGTTTATGCACGGCTAACTGGACGTAAAAAGAAATCCACACCAAGTTGTGATTTAACTTTTAATAGGTTGCAGTAATCACAATTTAGAGGCGCGCATCTTACATCTAACAAACGTACGGTCGGATTACATCCCCCAGTGTGCAAAACCGAAGCGCTGCTCTTCACCACGTGCACTCTTTTTGATGTCTGCAAACAACTCGCAGAAAAAAAAGCTAAATAACGTTGTAAATGGGCCTTTGTGTCTGGCTTATATGCGATGTCAAAAGCTAAAACGTTGATGCCAGCCAGAAATAAATCTAACGCCAAATAACATCATCGCATTTACAAGTCACCAATCCAGCCCTGAACGTGTTATACAACAAAAAAAAAACTGGTATATATTCTTTGCTGTGGCTTTTAAATATAATGGACACATTTTAAACAATGCATAATCTTTCCATATATATGTTTCCTACCTTATTTGGAGGGAGGGGTGGGAGTGATATTTCAGGAACGGTTGGCCAAATCACCTGTATCCGGATATAAGAGGCGAATTAAAGAAATTACAATTAAAAACCATACCTTCATAATAAAGGTTTTTGGGTTAGATCGCGTTATTTATAAATGTGTCGAAACCCTCCACCACCCGACACGGCCAATCAGCAAAATAAAGTGTCACGTTGACAAAAGACAATTATTTCAATACTTTAGCCCACCGGTGTGTTGAAGAGTGAATCCACAACATTTACAGTTTGAATACGACGTTTCGCTGGTAATTACATCCAGCATCATCGGGCAATTCACAATTCGCCAGAACCCAAAAACCTTTATTATGAATATTGGTCGCGAAAGACTACGTGTTAAACTAAAAAACCATACCGCGTGATTCACATTCAAGGGCCACTTTCTCAGTGAACGATCGTGGCCGGAAAATTGCCGACAGCAAGGCAACCGTGCACGCGTTCCGAAAACAACAACCGTCAATTTTGTTACATGGCGTGTACATTGATAACTATGCACCGTGCGATGATCCCGGAGTGATTTCCTTCTTAAATTAAGCTATGTGTGTAAATCAATGTTTTTACGCCGATTTTTATAGTTAACAAAAAAATGCAAATAAATTATACGTGCTGTGCCTATATATATAATGTGCATTGCAACCGGGGTGTGGGGAGAGCCGGAAGTTCATTATTTTATCGTCGATTTGCGCTATGCACTTTCTCAATAAATTTCTTTGGTTTTATTTTTTTAGAAAAACAGTCTTTGCTTCCATGTGTGCGGTGATTTTGAGAGGTGGCACAAAGGTGATATTTCACTTCGATTCCTGGCTACGGCGATTAACGTCAGTGGCAAGTGATATCTGAATTAATTTTTCGCTTGACCAACCTGCACTGATCAGCGTGGTGAAGTATACCCAAGAACCTTGCAGACCAACATGATGTTGTGTATTGACAAAGGGCTGTTGAGCTCAGCCGCTGTCTGAATTGCATTATACCAGTTTAACACGTAGACTTTCGCGACCACTATTATCCATAATAGACGCTTCTTTGTGTTAGATCACGTGAAAATAAATGCGTCTCATCATCAATGTGTCTCAAAGAAAGCCGTCCATTGGTGTGGACCAATCAGTTTCACGGACAATGCATATATTATCATAGTATGTTTTTTGTTTGAATTTTCACTGCAAGTATTGTGGTTAATGCAGACATGAATCCTTGTAAAAAGGTTTCAGTTTTGTTGCCAGAAAAAAGGGGAAGACCCCTATTATTATTATAAATGTGTCGTTAAACCCGCCACCACCCTATGCAGCCAGATAGTAAGGTTTGTCACGGTGGTGGGCGGGTTTAACGGCATATTTATATTTACGCCATTTAAACCCCCCCAAATCCCCTATATTATGCATTATGCCAGCTATACGTTGATATCTTTTTACTTTTCCAGCTGAATTATCGCTCAGCTTATCCCCTTTATTGTGCAAAATACATATCATCAACTGCAGTTGGGTAGAGAGAAGCATTTGGACAATGTCACTGGCTCTGTTTCATGTGCTCCTAAAGACAAAGACGCCACAGTGCCTTTGGCGTACGTTTAATAGCTGACTGTACACTTTAGTATTCCCCGAGAAACACGTCGCTATATGGACACAGAGGTGACCGAATACAGTGCAGCAATCTGGTTCATGCAGACTTTTCTGTGGAGAAATCTTACTATTGTAACCTTGTGTTTACAAAGTTGAAAAAAAAGTTACAAAAAACGAACGTTTGACATTTTTTGGGACCAGATCTGCCGCTTTGTCAGGGAACACAAAGCAGATGTGACTCTCCTCGAGGAAACTCACCTCGACGTCACTCTGGAGGCCCAACGCCAGCCTTTTCTAGGCGGCCGGGCCTTCTTCAGCCATGCCGAGGACAACCTCGCCGGCGTGGCGATTGTGCTCAGTTCGCGGTTTGCACCAGAGAATGTCTCCTTCAAAGAAATCGTCAAAGGTCACTTGATTTCTGTCGAAATCGTCCTGAATGAATCCAGCCTCAGGTGCATTAACGTGTACGCGCCGAGCAAGGCCCCTGAGAGGAAGCTCTTCTTCGGCACGCTTCGGGACCTCTCGCGACAGACGACGTGGACGACGTGCTCACCGTCGTGGGGGGAGACTTCAACTGCACCCTCGACCCAGCTCTCAACCGCAACACCTCACCCTGAATCCACACGGCCGCTAGCCGACCTCGTGCGGTGACTGGATCTGCGTGACATGTGGCGACTACAGCATCAGGCCCAGCGGCAGTACTTTTGGTGCCGCTGCGGCGCTCAAGGCAGGATAAGCCTTGCCAGGCTCGACCGACTGTACGTCAATGCCAGCAGCGTTAACCTGCTCGGGGACAGTAAAATCGTACCCTCCGGTTTCTCCGATCACCGCCTGGTCTCTGTGCTGCTGCGAATTCCCAGAGCGGAGCAGCACAGCGCCTACTGTAGACTCAACGTACAGCTGCTTGATGACACCGACTTCAGAGAAACCTTCAAAGCATTTTGGGCTCAGTGGCTGCCTGCCAAAGGAAGCTTCAGCTCCCACCAGCTATGGTGGGACAACAGAAAGTCGCAGGTCAGGGCTCTCTGTCAGCAGTTCATGAGCCAGCACGCCGCCGCCAAGAACGAGGTGGCGCGCCAACTGCAGAACGAGCTGCTGGCACTTGAGGCAGAGCTGAGGTCATCCCACGGCACACAGCAGGGTGAGACGCTACTGGAGAAGCAGCGGCTTTTCAGGTCCATCACGGACGAGCAGGCACATCGTGCTTTTGTGTGCAAAAAGATGCAGCACCTGTCGCAGATGGGCTCTCCCTCTAAGTTTTTCTTCCGCTTAAACAAAGCACCGGCCAACACCACAAAAATTTCCAGTTTGCGAACACCAGATGGACAAACAGCAACATCTGAGAGCGAGATCGCCAAGACCGCCAGGGATTGCTACTCTCAACTTTTCGCCGCCGAAACCATACACGACGAGGCTGTCCAGGAGCTACGGGATGGGGGCCCTACCTTAGGAGTCCCCAAGCGGGATCGTCTGGACAGCCCCGTCACCCTGCAGGAGCTCCTCACCGCTGTGAAAGGGCACGCAACAGAGAGTCTGCAGAAGGGTGAACTCCCACAGAGCTGCAGGCGAGCGGTGGTCTCCCTGTTACCCAAGAAGGGGGACCTGCGCCTCATTGAGAATTGGCGACCCGTGTCCCTCTTGTGCGCTGACTACAAAATCTTCTCCAAGGTGCTGGCAAACCGTCTCAAGACAGTGCTGGGTCAGCTGATCCTGCCGGAACAGTTGTATTGCATCCTCAGACGGTGCATTTACGACAACACCGGTATGGTCAGAGACATAATCTCCCTTGCAGAAGTGCACAACATGGACTTAGGCCTCCTCTTCTTGGATCAGGAGAAGGCCTTTGACAGGGTGAGCCACGAGTACTTGGACAAACTCCTAATGTCGCTCGGCTTCGGCCAGGCCTTTATCTCGCACGTTAGGCTGCTGTACACAGGGGCACGTCCAGCCTCTTGAAGATAAACCAGAGGCTCAGCGCCCCTTTCCCTGTGACGAGGGGGGTCAGACAGGGATGCCCCCTCTCGAGGCTGCTGTACACCCTATTCATTGAGCCACTGCGACGACATCTGAGATGAAATCTGGCTGGCCTCAAAGTCCCGGGACCTGAGAATGCGGTCGTCAAGCTCTCGGCTTACGCAGACGATATATGCGTCATGCTCAATGATGCGTATGACGTCTCCGCGCTCTGCCAGGCGGTTGCTTGTACGAGAGGGCCTCCTCTGCCAGGGTCAACTGGGCCAAGTGCAAGGCCCTGTGTTTGTGGTCGCGAGGCGGCGTTCGTTCTGTGCTCCTCCCAGGAGGAGTCATTTGGCGGGACGACGGAGTCAAGTACCTGGAGGTTTACCTGGGGAAACCACGTGACGTCGTTCTGAACAACTGGACCGAGCTGGCCGACACAATCGAGGCTAGATTACTGACATGGGCGCAATGCCTCGCTCCGCAGATGTCATTCAGGGGCCAAGTGCTCGTCGCTAACACCCTGGCTGCATCCGTGCTGTGGCACAAGACCAAGGCCCTCA